ACTCAAATACTTTGGCCACCTAATGAGAAGGAAGGACTCCCTGAAGAAGAGCCTAATGCTGGGAACAACTGAGGGCAAAATAAGAAGGGGATGGCAGAGGATGAGGTGGCTGGATGGAGTCACTGAAGCAGTTGGTGTGAGCTTGAGTGGACTCTGGGAGATGGTGGAGGACAGGAAGGCCTGGAGGAGTGTTGTCCATGGGGTCGCGATGGGTCGGACACAATTTCATGACTAACAGCAGCAGCAACAGAACTTTCTACAAGCTGGCCATGAAAGCGTGTGAAGCTGCCTGGCCATCTTTTCCAGAATGCCCAGTGTAGCTGCTGCCCGATGTTGTTACTGTCCGATATTTTCAGTTTTGCAAATTGCAGGTCTCATTGTCCCTGCCGCAAACATGGGGCATTGCCTTCTCCACTGCCAAAGTTTTTGGTGGAGAACCAACTGTAGCCCAACTGAGCACAAGCCAGGAAAGAAACGCGATGGGGCCTGGGCATCCCCTTATGAGGGCTGGAATTTCTGCTTGCAACCTTCATGGGCACGAATCAGTAGCTTCGCATACCCCACGGGTGGCTGCTTTTCGGTTGCCATCCTTTTAGGGGCATTGTTAGGTAGACATCCTGTCCCAGCAGGAATTTTATCTCCAGCTACCCAACACTGAAGTGGCACTGCAAGTGTGACCTTAGAGACCCAGATGACTAACGGATCTCCAACTATTTAAAACGTTCCTCTGCTCAAAGTGACCTCCAAAAGAACCTCAAGGGCCTCTTTAATTTTAGCTGAACGGAGCAGCCCTGGCACACCTATGTTCTGATTGTGATTTTGCTCGTGGCCTGTGCATGGGTGTGGGGATCGTGACCAAGGGGGGTTTCAGTGGGCCAGTGCTATAAAGAAGGTGCATTTGTGACCTGCTTGTGCACTGGGCTCACACCTGTGAATTCAAAGGGATTAACACCCAAATGTCCCCCACACCCCATTTGCAAGAGGTTCTGTTTTGCTTCCAAACCGATCAGAACCCAACCACCTGAGTCCAATACTTGAAAGAACAAGAGGGACGAGCAACAAAATTTGGCAGCATAGCCTCCACATCTAACAGACACGGCCCTCTTCCGATTGCCAGCCAGCACACCAGCCATGCCCATTACCGGGACCAGCAACTGGTTGTCCTGGTCGGCATTCAACATTGTGCAACATCTGGGCAGACTCGTTTCTCATCAGATTAATTTTTGCAGTGGGGGATGGATCGTTCTCATATGGTCTTTTTCCCAGCCTGAGTGTTCGTTTTTTGCACTGCTGCAAAGCTTAGAATCTGCCTACCAAATGGCACACGCCACTGGAATCTGCTCTTGGAGAAAAAGGCAGCGCTGAAAGGCTCCAGAAGTGTCCGGAGCTCTGTCCCACCTGGCAGGGAAGAGTGAGGTGGATTCTCTGGACAGGGACAAGGAGAAAAGATGCCATCCGTGAGTATCAAGGGAAGTTTTCCCTAAGCTTAATTGTCATGTGGGAGGGCGGGCTCTGGGTGAGCCACAGTGCACAGGGGAGGCATGGAAACTTTTCCCTCCCCAGCTGTGATCCCCTTGGAAATGCTGCGCCCCAGCAGGCTGGACTGAGCTCTCCCACTGGCACTAGCCGTCAGCCTTTCCCTAGCCAAACCGCCACGCAAAGAGAGTAGCAGCTGGGCTCACCTTCCTTCCCCAGGAGCTATCACCCCTGAACGTTGCCCCTTGCGCAGTAATTCAGCGGAGAACGGAAAGCCTTTCCATTGGCACCAATAGCTGCTCAAGTCTTTGGGAATAGGTTCAGGGCCATGGGGAATAAATTTGGGGCCCTGGCCCCTGACCCTTAGACTCTAAGGGTTGAGGGTGGGTTGAGACTTCTTTTCCCCTGTGGACGGCAGGACACATTCCAACATAGCCAAGTTCAGGGAACCAAGGTTCAATCTGGATGCCAGGAAGTACTTCCTGACAATTAGGACTCCAAGGGTATGCAATGGGCTTCCTCGGGAGGTGGTTGAGGCCCCATTGGGGAGGGTGTTCAAGCATAGGCTAGACATGCACATGGTAGGCATGTCGTGAGCAGAGCCAGGGGTCAGACTAGATGGCCCAGGAGGCCCCTTCTGACTCGCTCTGTTTCTATGTTTCTAAAGAGTCAAGTGGAACTTGCCCTCTCCCCTGCCAACCGCTTTCACCCATGCTCCGAAACCTCACTGAGACTTTCCTCACCCTCTGGATCCAGAACAGCACCTGTGACGTGGCTAGTGTCCTGAGGGATGACCCTGCCGTCCCTCTTGCTCCCAACATCCTGCTGGGATTCTTGGTGCCAGCATGGCATTAATCAGGGTGCACCCCTTTGATACACCCCACTCACTGCTTTAGAGCTCCTGAGCACACTTGGCATGACAGTAATTATAATAATATGGATTTTTTAAAAGGACAAGTCGCTGTAGCATTCACAGAAATTAATATAATAGAATTTTTAACAGAATAAATTAGCTTCTGATGGCTAACCATTCAGAACACGAAAGGAAGAAATTAGTCCCAAGTCTACAGAAGATTTAAAAAAAAAATTTTTTTTTAAAGCATGGCATCTCCAGTCGATATTTTCATGCCTTGCACTGGTTTGTTTCGGAGCATCTAATTATACACGAGCGTTTCCACTTGCAATCAGTTCCGTTAAAATGAGAAGAATTAGAAGTTGCTGAGGCCACAGCAACTTTAAAGAAGCGAATGCTCGTTCAAGGTCTTTGCACACAAGCCACACCAAATGCAAAAGTCTCTGTTCCTTGCGACGGGAGAGGTTCTTCGGCAGGTTTTTAGCTGCCTTTCCAGCCCCACCCCATCTCCACTTTACTCTTCCAAACGGCGTCCAACGTTCTACAGAGACAGATCATGATCAGCAGACCTCGTGGTGGAGTGAACACGCTGGCCTCAGGGGCCCCAGTGTGGTTCCAGTTCTCTTGATATTCACCACCTTAAGTGAACGTTTCTAACTGGGTTTTGTGCTGCTAGACTAAGCTCCGACCTGGGCCTGACTTTACTGCCTCTCCGAAGGTCCTGGCAACAAGCATTAAGTGGGGAGCAGAGCTCCAACAAGGGCCTGCAAAGAGCAGTTGGTTCCACATCGTTGCAGAGACTTTCCCGTGCACGTTCCAAGGTCAGGCAGATATAGACTTGCCTGATAACAAAAGGCCCTGAGAGTCAGAATTCTCGGGTGCTAAAAGGGGAAGAGCAGAGGGGCTTATCTCAAGGGCAACTTCCCCAGGTCTTCAAGTGGACACTGAGAATAATTGGATTTAGCACTGAAGGAATGGGGTGTGGGAAAAACTTCTGCAGCCAGCTAAGCTTGGCACAACAACTCTTGACCCCTTGATGTCGGGAGAGACAGAGTGACCACCTAGAGCGGCGACAGGCAGAAAAGGGGCTCACTTATCTCCAAAAGGACATCCAGAGGGAGGTTTCCCAGGGATACAGGGATATTTTATATTGTTAATTTGTTTTATATTTTTAATGTATTATATTTTAATTTATGTTGTGAGCCGCCCCGAGGCTTCGGCGAATGGGGTGGCATAGAAATGTTTTAAATAAATAAATAAATAAATAAATAAAATACTCAAAAGGAGAATGCTGGGAAGTTTTTGTTGGATTGGGTTCAACAAACTGCACTTTGCATGTTCAGAGACTCATCCTTGGTTGGTTGTGTTGGAGAAGAAAGAGCTTCTGCCAGAGAATGGTTTCTTGTTTTGGAAGTGTGAAGTGGGGAAACCTGGCTTGTGACAAGTATTATCTAAGGAAGCCGACTTTAGTGGTGTCCTGGGGGTTTTATCATGTCCTTAGCTGCATTAAAGGGGCTGGCACAGGAGCCTGCAGTGATCGTGACACAGAGCATTCTACATAAATAATTCAATATTATAATTATTTTCAATTTATTGTTGTAAGCCGCCCCGAGGCTTCGGCGAATGGGGCGGCATAAAAATGTTTTAATAAATAAATAAATAAAATAAATAAAGCAGTCACTTGACTGTTCATCTGCTGTATCTACTGTCCGTCACAGAATTGAGAGTCGGCCACTACAGGAAAGTTTTCTTTCCTGCTTTTCTGCTACATGACCACTAAGTGGCACTGTGGAGTAGTGCAAATACGCAAGTGAAAAATGGTTTCTTTCACTTTCACAATTCAATATCACACTTTCCTCACTGAAATGATACTTGCTGAAAGCACACTTTGCATACAAAAGTGAAACTGAAGGGTCACCACACTGTCTAAAGAACTCATGAACCAGCATGATTAGGGAATGATGAGCACACAATAAATGCCTTGCGCAGAAAATGTTGCACCTACTTCTAATACAGTGTGTGAGATCTTGGTAAGCTGGTAAGTCCTTGCTCTCTATAAAATACTGCAATGCTCATTATATGGTGGGTAAGCACAAACTGAACATGCAAAATGAACCAGACGCTTGCCCACAGAGGGGAAATATTATCCTGCAAATTTTGCAAAGCTGCACTGAAAACAAATCCAGTGCAACTTCCCTGCCAAAAGAACTTTTATCCACCAACACTTTCCCTGCAAGAGAAAATAACATGAATCTAATCATATTTCCCCTTGTTAGTGGATAGCCCAGATCGGAGGATTTAGAGAAGGGTTTTTTCCCCCCTCGCCTTGCTAAACATTATCTTGATCATACATATTCGTCTGCAAAAGATGTGCCAACAGGCTTCACACACACCAATCAAGGGACTTCCTTTTGATTCCTCCATAAACTTGTTATCCCAGATGGCTGAAGATTTCCAGCTCAACCCATTTTTAAACCAGCTTTTGTAAACATCAGACACTGGTTTCAGTAATAAGGGTTGTTCTGTTCAAAGAAGATGACAACAGATATGTATAGTTAGAAAAAGGAGGAGAATCTGTATTAAATTCTTACCTTGCAAATAATTAAACTGCAGCCCATGTGGCTGAAGGTTTATTCAGAGGTTTGCATTTTAGGATTTTAAAAATATGAATATATATTTTTCATCTTAAACAAACAAACACAGATCCAGAACAATGACAGCTACATACCTTTTGAAATCTCCTGGAGGTTAATTTGACTAATGCTGTCTGTAGACTTCAAAGGCTGGGGGAATTGCCAACAAAGTTGCAGGGAACTATATGGGAAAACTATTCACCCTACTAATTCTCCCAGCTTCTGCTTAGGATATTTTTTCTTAAATGTAGTTCCTTACTACATGTAACCAGACAAGCAGCACCTTCCTGAAGCCATATCAGCAGTGCTTCCTGTTCTCATTGGGATGTCTTCAGGATAGAAAGGAATCTTCCTACCCCAAAGGTGCAGTGTTAAGAATACTTATTGCTCCTACCCTCACTCTGAATGGGCTTCATAGAGATGTCAGAGTAAGGGCATTAAACACAGCTTCTTGCCCTTCTCCTCTCTGCAATGCCACGGTGCAATGCTTCCTGTCTTCACATCAGTACCTTCCAGGTCCAGAGCATATGAAAAATACAGTGCCCAGAGACCACCTCCTTCAACCATATGAACAGGTAACTAAAGCAAGAAATGTGAAGCTGCACCTTTGCTCAGGAAGCCTCCCATTCCCCCTTGACAACTCGGCTTTTCCCCATTTCCAGAAAACTTCTGGCTCAGCTCTTAGCTCTCCGACAGCAAGTTGATCACATGGTCACCTGGGGTTGTTTAAAATGCAGGTGATCTTTCTTTTTTTAAATGAAAGCTGCTACAGCAGTGAATAACATATTCCAAGCTGCAAGAGGTCAAACAAGAAACCTGCATCCAAGACAGCCTCTTCCATAATAATAAAAGTGGATATCTGTCAGTCAGTCAATCTGTTTGTCAGCATCATAGCAGTGAGACGATGAAACCCAAGACACACGACGTTAAGCATGAATACTAAGAGCACCCAATGGGTATGTACCTTCGGGACATTTCATTTTTCAAATGCATCAACTCAGATTCATTTGCTAGCTAATAATAAATGACATGAGGCATAATCTGCTCCCATTCAACCCCATGGAAAGTTATTCTCTAATAAAAATAGCAGGCATGAAAGTCCCAGTCTAGGCTGGAACTGAAGCAGGAATCAAAGCGTGAAACATGAACCCATCTCAGCACATCTAGATCCAGATACTTCGCTTTCTCAAACACACTATTTACTTTCTTGAAAGCCACAATGCAATTGCTAATTTCTTCTCATTTGGCCCAAATAATCCTCTTTCAAAGCACATCTTGCAAGGGCAAAATTAATTCATTAACTGGGATTCAGGGCCAATTCCTCCAACTTTTCAGGAGAAAAAGGGCAACCAGGAAATGTGGCTGCCATCTTGAAGAAGGCTGATTACCATTTGCCACTAAAATGTTATTCATGCAGGTCAAATTGCAGGCCAGCCTTTCCGTTTCTGAACTGAAAGAGCTCCACATATGCACATTTCAGGAAATGAGCTTCTGGCAAACAACAGTGCGAAATAAATAGATTTTGTGTCCCCCCTCCCCTTTTTAAGGCAAAAAAAGTATATAAAATAATCCATTGCTGCATGGAATGAACTCCTGCAAACTAAACGTACATATTATCAGCAGCTCAGGGCAGAAAAGAGAAACGTACCTGAAGGCAAACCTTCTTGCCATTAGCCTGGCCTTCCCAGATCTGATGCTCTCCAGATATGTTAGGCTGCAACTCCAGATGTGTTGCTTTTCACATCTGGAGGCTGCAAGGGTGGGGAAGTAGCATTAGCTCCTGTCAGCTTACATTTAAATCTTAGCCGAGTAGAGAGAGGCAGGGAATGGACAAGACCCTTAGCGTCAGGACAGATTGCCCATTTTCCATGGTCAGATTTGGCAAAGAGCTGGAGGACATCTACCCTGAGATCCTGATGAAAAAAGCTTGGTAGAAAGCACCACAGAGGTAACATTGCCAGCATGGTAACACGGCACTATGCTGTAGTTTACAAGAGAACCTGTAGCAAAACTTCCTCCTCTCCTTCGGTATATAAGATGTCCTCTCACAGGTTGATAACTGCATAAAACTCAGTGGTGGGAACCTGATAAAGTTCAATGGTGGGAGACGCAGGACAGACAAAAGGAAGCACTTCTTCATATAGTAAAACTATGGAACTCCCTGTCACAGGACAAGGTAAAGTTTGCTCACTAAACCTTTCCACAGAGTTTGAAACTGGTTCTCAAGGACTGCTGGACTTCTCCGAGGGACCACGGGCCTTGGTAGTTCGGCTGCAGATTCAGACTCCACCTCTTCACTTGAAGCAGGATCTGATTCCAGAACCTTTGAGGACTCTTTTAGAGGAGGAATGGGCCCAATCTCCATACTTTCCTTTGCAATCTCAATAGTATTGTTAGTGTTGAAAAAGAAGGAGGCAGTTCTTGGGCCAGGGTGAAACAAACTCTTCAGATGGGGAGGAAGAGCCCAGGGAAATGGGGCCTCCATATATTGAGCTAGAAGAGCTTATCTGAAGGTTGCCATCTTGGGTGTTTAGACAGAACCTGGGAATTGTGCTGGAGTCTGCAACTGCCAGAAGGAGGCATAAGACAGGGGCCCTGGGAACCAGATGCGCCTGGTATGATCCTTGGCCCCGCGATGCAGCACTGGAAGAGAAGGGGTCGCCAGCAAGAGGGCCCATGTACAGCTAGGAGGTTTGCCTGGTTCTAGACGGGCCCTTCCAGAAGGGAGGGGTCCAGGGTTTCTCAAACAAAAGGCCCTTGGAAGTTGTTTCAGTGAAAGTTGTGGGTTCAATGAACTGCTCTGTGAATGCTCCAAGGCTCTTTCTTTGCTGGTTATGGTTTACTGGATGTATACTGGAGAATAAAGAGCTTTTGCCCGAGAACGGTCTGTTGTTTTCAAAGTGAGAAGGGGGAAACCAGCTCCTGACAGCTAGTCGCCCTGATTGCCATCTTTGGTTGGGGAGGCAAGACACAAATTGAACAATCAAACAATAAAACACACACACAAACAAGCAAGAGAGCTTTCCTGAAAAAGAGATACCCATAGATGAAAATCTAGGCACTGACCTGTGATGAGTTCTCGCACTTCCATGTCATTCGTCTTCCGTAATAACCGGATCAAAGCTGGAATCCCATCGCAGTTTTTTATCGCCACTTTGTTCTCATTGTCCTTTCCATAGGATATATTCCGGAGCGCCCCACAAGCTTTGCGGTGCACCTCCGGCTTCGGGTGATCCAGCAAGCCCACCAGAATGGGAATCCCTTTGAGGTGCCGCACGTCCTTCTTAATTTTATCGTTCTCGTAGCAGAGGTGCTGGAGGTACGCTGCTGCGTTGGACTTGACCGGGTCGATGGGGTGGCTGAGCATGGCGATGACTTCCGGAAGGTCAGGGTCCCTCCACCGGGGGTCTTTACGGATGCTGTCGATGGAAGGGGAGCGCTTGCCCAGGCGGTCGATGCTGGCCATGCTTCCCCTTTCCGGCTGGGCCAAGGGGGCGGCGTAGCTGCCGTGCAGGTACGGGATCCTCTCATCCGCAATCTCAGACTCGATCGGATCATCGTAGCCTCTGCTAAGAGAGCAACCACACGGACAAGTCTGGGGAGCATCCTCAGGTAAGGACAGGCTGGGCTACAAGCTACTGGGCTCCATCACAGTTAAGAGGCCTTCTCAGTTAAGAACACAGACAGGTCTTTCCACTGCCATTCAGGGATGCTGAGCAGGGTGCCCCTCGCCCTTCTATTTCTGACCAAGAGAATTGTGCCCACCGGTGCTGCAGATAATGGATTTTAGCACTGAAGGGGGACGGCAACAGGACCCGCAGCCGTTGGGCAGCTTCCAGGTTCCCAGCACATCCCATCATTGGCTATTCTCTGGCCACTGTATGAAATACGGAACTCTCCACTCCATGTTCCTCAGTTCCGTTTCATACGCTGTTTCCCTTTTGAGGCTAACCTGGAGCCTCCAGATGCATGGGGCTCTGACCCTCACTCTCTAATGACTTCAGACTCTCATTAACCTCTGGATCATAAATGCAAACCAGAGCCTGGACCAGATGAAGGGGTTATCATCTCAGGATGGCGAATCCACCAAAATTAGTCACTTGTGCGCACTTAACACACATCTTACCAAATGATTCCACGACAGGACTATTTTAATGACCAGATGAAACAATAGGCAGGAGAGCTGAAGACTCGGAGTGAGGGCTGGAAAAGCCAAAGCATTTCTTTCTTTTTACATGAAAGGGGAAGGGGAAAAAGTAAGAGACGCTTTTCTTGATGCACTTATTGGAATATGTATAATTCATTAGTTTTTAGGGCTGCAATTTATGATGTCTCAACAGCCATTATGTCTGCTTTTATGCAGAAGAGCAGCTTCCATTCTTCAGCATAAAAAAGATAATAACATTACATTCCTATCAATATTTCCCCTTGTAAGACATGGGGATAATGAGTGCCTAAATGGCTCTTACAGGTGGAAAATTTCGCTTCTCCCTCCTCCCATGCCGCGCAAACAGGCTCTTCCCCCTCACTCCCAAAGTTGTTGCCTTCACTCCAGGAAGAAGCGGTCCACAGCTTGAGCGTAAGTCCCAGTGACCCCAAGAAAAGGCTTCTTGCTGAGCACCCTGGGGTGCTGAGACAAGGGACAAAGCAGAATCGACTCCCAGCTCTTTAGCAATAAGGCAGCTTCTCTCAGTCAGGCTTGAAATTGGGCTCGGTGGAAACTCTTTCCTTTCCAAAGCTCAGCAAATACCTCCAAGCATTCCAGGCTTAACCAGCCCCAGTCCTGCACTCCATGATGGCACTGAGGGATGGCATTTTGCATGCTCTCCGCCCCTGCCCCAGTCTCTCCACCACCTGCCTCCTTCCCAGCCGCTTATCTGATCTCTGTTCCACGGCCGGGATGGGATGGGATGCGATGGATGGAGAAGAGAGAAAGACACACCTTGGCCACTAGCTCACTACTACAGCAGAGTGCTCTAAGAGCGGACAGACAGAGTGGGACTTCCTCCATGCATTTATGGAAGACCGAAGAAGACTGGCTTCCACCAGAGAAAATCTGGTCGTTCTATCTGTTCCTCTCCATGTTTGGCTGATGGTCCACCAACCTCAGAGCGTTAAATGCTATGTGCTAGAATCTGATAATTCTGGGTTCCTTTGAAAATAAGTTTGCAATTTCCCGTTGGCTGATAAAGCTGACTAGTACAATACTAGCCCCACTCAGAGGAACCCCACTGAAATGCATGGGGCACCAGTCAGTTGGGAGCGACTTGAGCCACATTCGTTTCAGTGCTTCTACTCTGACACTGTAAGACTGACTGGATGTCACCCGTACATTTGGAACCATGAAGGCAAAACCACCAAAGGACTGAAGACAACGTCATGTGGGTTTTTAGCATCTAGAACTCCAGGGAGCAAATGATGTCTCAATGCAAGGACTTCTTGAAACAAACCCATATTTGAATTTCAAGGAACTTCTGGAAGTGAAGCTAGTCTGCCCACTCAAAGCTGGCCATCTACACACACAGAAGGAAAGCAGAGGAAGGAACCGAGTGCCCCATCCCCATGGCATCTTACCTACCAAAGCCTCCTTCTGCCCCTCCAGGTGTGGCCTGGCAGAATCCAGTCACCATACTGAAGGCACTTCATCACCAACGCAAGAGCAGCACACAAACGACAGAAAACACAGCCCTGGGAATTGGAAGCAACACTGGCTCACAGTTGCTACAACCTACACTCTGCTCTTAGATTGCATCTAAGGCCGCCTTTGTCTGGACTTTGCTCCAACAAAACAAGGCAGCTGTCAAGGAGCCCTTTGTTGGAACACAAACAGGATTACAGACCCTGTTGCCACCCCATTAGCTCCTACAGGCACTCCCCTTTGAGTGAGATTAACACTTCGGAACTTTTCCCAGGAAGCTATGACATGTGACATGCTCAGAGCAACCACTGCGGATGTGTTTTGCTTTGAACTTAGCCCTTCTTTTCAAATGCCCAGATATAATTGTGGTCCATGTGATGGGTGGCCAGTTGTTTTGAAGATGCAGGCCAATCCACTAACTTGACACTGGACCGGCCTACCCAGTCCAAGCTTGTCAACACTGCCTAGCAGGGCATCTTCTCGAGGTTTGGGCAGGAATGCTCCCAGCACTGACTAGAGATGCTGTTCAAGCCAGGGCCTTGCTTATCTGAATAGTGATGGCACTAAGGTTTGTGATTGCCCGCCATGTTGTATAAACCTCTTCCACTCGTAGCATCGTCTCCATTATGAACGTTACTCCAGAAGATAATTTTCTAGTTCAATTAACCTCCTTCTTCCCTTCTTTGGTGACTTGAATGCCAACATGGCAGCATCCCATGTTTCAGAGATCCTGGGATGTGGGCAGGACCATATAGTGAGCCCCCAGGTAGAAGAGAGAAAAAAGAGAAGACCAAGAACAGCCCTAGAAAAGCACCAAATAGACACAAAAAGACACCTGTGCGAGTGATTTTCTTCCTGATGTACACTGAGAAAATGCCATTGGTTAACAAGAAAATCTGTTTGTTTGAAAACACACTCTTAAAACACATACACAGTGAGAGAGAATTACAAAATTACACGCTTGGGAACTGAGTCACTCATGCAGCTGTCGTGTGTGTGTGTCTGTGTATGTACGCATTTGGCCCCTTTTTCAGGGTTTTGTAGAAATACGATTCTTTGGAATCTTCAGTAGCCCCATCTTGTGCAAGGAATCCTGGATCAGAATTCCTGATGTCCTATGGACAACATTTCCCAAGGTCTTGCAGTGTGGAATGCTGCTATTGCAATGTTCAAAGAACCAGGGAGGGAGGGCAAGAGGGAGGAGAAGCTCTTGCAAAGAGGCTTTTGGAAACCCCCCCCCCCACATTAATTCTGCCAGGCAAGAGGGAAGAAAAGAAGGCTGGGAGTTGAGAGAGCAGCCAGGCCTTCTCCTGTTCATGATATTACTGAGAGTGGGCACCATTCAAATGTCTTAATTGCACCAGGAAGAAGAGAACAGGCTGGTTTCTGATATTCCGAAGGGTGTGTGTAGGTGGAATGCCTGTAGTTTACTGATCGCAATTCTAAATGGATTTGAGCTGGGATAACTCAGATTTAAGCAGCTGCGCACTAGAAGCACAGGCAATGATAATATACAGCATAGGCCATGCGCAAAGGAATGATCGTATTTCGGTATTACAGAGTCTTATAGAAGGCAGTTTGTGCATTGTGGGAAAACACTGAGGGGCGGCTGTCAAATTCCTGATTAAAATAAGGATAGGAAAACAAAGGTATTTAAAGATATGCTTCAGCATCGAGCAAATCTGCTGAAACAGTGGAATTGTTTGCTCAGCTGGGCAATTCCAGAAGTAAAAGGTTCAAGATTATTTCATGGCCTGCTTTTGGTAGAAAGAAGGTAGATTGATTGTTAAAACATGGGATGTGGGGAGGAGATTGGAATAAGAGCTGAAGAAGGAACTGGCGGAAATCTCATCCTGTGGAAGCTGAGGGACTGGAGGGTGCGGGGAGAAACATGGGCCGCAATGCTTATTCGCACCAGACAAACAAAAAGAAGGATGGCTTGTTTATTTTTAGCTCCGTGGGGGGAGATGAAGAATATTAAGCATGTGATGGATCAGCGACGGGGCTGAACAAACAAGCATTGTTGAGCAGGCAGGAGTAAGAGAGGAGGAAGGTTTTTCTTGGCAAAGCTGGAAGGAAGATGAAGAAATATGAGCCCAGGAAAGACGTCGCTATAAAAATGCACAGTGAATTTGACAGAAGGCAGAGGATGAAACAGGAGCGATGTCAGTTGAAAGCGAGGCCTGGAGACAGTAAATCTGGTGCAATAGGGAGTGGGGGGAGATGGGATCCTGCAGCTTCCTAGGAGGAAAGGAGCTGGGATTGCTATGTCACAGGGACTTAGAGTGTGTGTTCAGTGTCCACACACTTGCAGGGAAGCGGGAAGTGACTTATCTGGAGATCACGCCAAGGTATCCCCCCACCAAAGATTTCTTATACTTCTGTAGGCCTAGGAGCTCCCCAAGCCTGCGGACAAGTTCCCTTTGGGGCTGCAATGGTGTACGTGGGCTGCTTAAGAATTCAGTATCTTAAGCATAAGTTCACTATCAACAGGGTGGAGAATGTCCTTCCACCCGAGGGCCGATTCTCATTTCCGAGAACCTCTTGGCTGGCATATTTCAGAGGCAGCTGGGGGCAATGAGACATTTTAGCTTAAGCTTCTCCCTCTAATTAACAAAACATTAGCAGGGGCATGTCAACCTTTTAGAATAGTTTTTTTTTTTTAATCAAAACAGCAGAGATTTGCCAAAAAATTGGGGACAAGAGAAAAAGGCAGCAGTGCCTGGTGATGCCAACTGTGGGGCAGCAGTCTTGACTTGGAAGGAGCTGTCCATGGTACTGAACCTGTTTAGGGGAGAGGGTTCAACAGTGCGAGCCTACTACCCCAGTGGGTTTCAACTACCAGTCCACAGGCTGGCGCTGGTCGGCAGGAGATTTCCTGCTGGTCTGTGGGTGGTGGGGGGCGGGCGGAGAGGGGAGGGAGAGCTTGCT